CTCCATCCCTTTCAGAGTTTCTGGTGGATGCTGTGATCCAGCTATCCCTCTGCTCCAGGATGTATCCCAGCAGGGTCTGAGCAGCCTCGCTTCCTCCTTCAGGAATGCAGCATCAGTCAGTGATGTACTTGGGGTTTGCTGTGGTATTGGTGCAGAATGGAAATGTTAGTGGTTCTGGGCTGCCCCAGCATTGCCCATCGACCTCACATACCCCTAGTTCTCCCCTGGGTTTCAGAGGTGATCCCCTGGCTGTGATGGGGCTGGTCAAGTTGTCACTGGGGGGTTTTTTGTGCTCGGGGGGGTTGAAACTGCAGAAGCAGCTATAGTTGGGGGTTTGGTTTTTTATAATTTGAAACCAAATCTGCCCCATCCCCCCGTTGTTAAAGCTTAGAAATAATGAAGTCTTAACCCCTGACACTTTCCTGGAATTGCAGAAATTTAAAAGACTGATAACCTTTCCACCCAACTTTGTAAGTAGCTTTCCAGTCTGAAATCTGGTGCTGGAGCTGCTCTTGTCTGCAGAGCTTGAGCCCTGGGTGAGTTTGTACAATAGGTTATGAACCCTCAGTAATAAGGATTTATAATGAGAATCTTGCTATATTCTTAATTATGCTCTGCTGCAGGGTGTCATTACAGTGCACTAATGCCCTCCATATGGCAGATAGCGTGCGTTTGGTTCTGCGTAGCTTTATTTAATTACAGACTGTGATCTGAGTAACTTCACTGCTCAGCCCCGTGCAGGAGCACTGCAGTTCATCTCCCTCATGCTCAGGCCCTGCACTGGTGCTTTATAATCCACCAATTTGGGAAGGGGTCACAGAGGAAGCAAAAGGCATCGATCCCATGCAGGGTGGGGAGGCCCTGGCACAGGTTGCCCAGGGAAGCTGTGGCTGCCCCATCCCTGGAAGTGTCCAAAATTGGATGGGGCTTGGTCTAGTGGAAGATGTCCCTGCACATGGCAGGTGATTGGAACGAGGTGGCCTTTACAGTCCCTTCCAACCCAGAGCATGTGAGGATTCTAGATTTGTTTTCTTCTCTCAGGATGACCTCGCTGTGTCCTTGGCAGCCCCTGATGCTTGTGCAGAGACCGAGAACAGACTCCTGCGTTTGTGTTGAGGGTGACTGTAGGGGTTTTCCAGCTCCAGGTGAGGTTTGTGAAGTCCCTTCCAGAAAGCTCCAGGAGCACTGAGATGCCACAGAGGCTGGTTGAGTGTCACCCTGATGGGGTGCTGCTCGATCTAGTGATCTCCTTGAGGCCATTGGCTGCTTCTGCTGTGAGTGCTGCGAGGTGGGGAATCACTGTGCAGGACTCCGGTGTTGAAATGTCCTGTCCTGCAGTGGGACAGACCTTGGCATGCCACGTGTCCTCCAGGCTGGCTTGGCCTCACTGTCCTTCTGCAAACAAATGCCTCTTCCTCCTTTAATAGAACTCTGCTCAGGACAGTTGGTTTTGAGTAAAGCTCTGTTTTGGACTCACTGGCCAGTTGCTATGTTTCCGTGGCCGCCTGCCTGCATGAAGAGCTCACCCCTTCCCTGGCCTCGGGGACTCTGGGCCTCACCCTCCTCCTTATGTCAGGGCACTTTTATTTTTCAGCAAAACGTAGGCAAATATGAAAATACATCCAAGAGTTTCAATCCTGGTAACTGCTCTGCAGCTCCTTCCTGTTGTATCCCTGGTTTGACTTTAATGATTCCCCATCCTTGCAGCCTTTCCTTCTCCCTGAATACTTCAGCTCTGCAGGACTTTGTCTCCTTTCCTGGTGGGGTTTCAGGGCTCATTGGCCAAAACACTTTCCCAGCATAGAGCTACCTGCCCCTCTTGGTAGTATTAATTTAGGAGGCAAAAGCATTTTGCATTTTTATTTCTATGGGTGTGAAAACAAATAAATAATTAAATCCCCACCCCAAACTCACCCCACAGCACCAAGCACAACCAGGGACGGGCATTTGGTGCTTCAGTGGAAAAACACAGGTTAAGCCAAAACAAATCAGAACTGAGTGTTCAGGCTACAACTAAGTCTGAGCTGCAGTGCTATATTTAAACATGGTATTTTTGTATTTTAATAATTCACCAGTGGGAAAGAACAACCTAAAAAACTGTAGTGTAGGCTATTTCCAAGGTATCTTCTGTTCAGCCCCATCTGAGTGCTGGAGTGCAGGTGAGGAAAGGCTGCAGAGGACAGGGATGCTCTAAAGCATTGGTTCCCTCTCTAGGTTTGTCCTTCCCCTCATTTTTCTCTTTGCAGCCTCCTAAGAGTTAAATTAAGCTGGTCAGCCATAAACCTGTGTTTCAGGGTGACTGTGTTTGAGGTGTTTGCTTTTCGTGGAGAGCTGAGGGCATGAGGCAGGATTTCCCTCTGCATTAATGGTAATAGTTGTGACTGTGTGTAACCGTGACTGATCCTTGGCAAAGGAGGGCTGTGAAAGGTAATGCTCTGCCACGTGATTATTTAATTTCCATTCAGTTTTATATAGCACAAGGCAGTTCCCTGCTTTTGAGGAAAAGATCGTGGGTGTTTCAGTGCTGCAGAAGCACCTGCAAGTCCTCATGGTGGTGTTGGGACTGGCAGTGCCAGGGGCTGAGCCTGGGCAGCATCAAGTCTCTCCTGAATTAGGAAAGGACAGCACAAAGTAAACAAGGGAACTTGGCTGGCACTTGGAGTTAATTTGCAACTTGAATCCAGCTAGAGATTCCCAGACAAGGTACAAGAGCAGCTCCAGCTCAGAAATGTACCTTGTCCTGAAGCTGATGGACACCAATCTGCAAAGCTTAACGTCCTTAAACTTCTGGAGCTTGAACTGAATTGAATTCAGTTCTGGAGCTTGAACTGAATTGACCTCAAGACCCAAACTGTGCAGCAAGTGCTCAGGATTGCAGCAGTGTCCCAGAAATCCTCTGCAGCCTGTTCAGTGTCTGTCCATGGGAAGGAATAGAACAGCCAGTACCAGAGCCCTGGTTCTGCACCATCACTTTATTTCCTTCCAGTCCTGCATGACCACAATGCCCTGATGGTACCTGAGGGCACTGTGAAATTTGAAGGTTTTGCTGGGGAGCATTTGCTGCTTCAGGGAGGCAAAACCATCTGCTTTGGTGGTTCTTGCTGAAATGAGCCCTGCAGAGCTCAGGTGTCTCCCAGCAGTTTCAGCAAAGATCACATTTTAGTCCTGGCTGTGTCCAGGGGCAGAGGAGCAAGGACTGTTTTTTGCTTTTAAGACAGGGCGGGACCCTTGTGTGCATTCATTCCAAAACCCATCTTTAACTGGAATTTCTTTTTAGGTCGTACTTCCCTTTTCTGCCATACATGTTTGGATTCTGATTATTTTTTCCCAGGCTGTTTTTCTAATCTCCCAGTAAATGGACATTAGCTGTGTTTCAAGCCCAGTAGAGGTGCTTGTCCTTATGGTTTTCCAGGGGTGGGGATCCACATCCTTACTGGCCCTGTTCCAGCTCACACGAGTGCCTTCTCCCTGGTGAGATTTAATGCTGCAAGTGCACTGCCCGCTGCTCCCCGCAGGCAGGAAGGGCTTTATGGAGATCTGCCTTGGCAGGAGCCTTTTAAGAGGTTTTTTCTTTGTTTCACCAAATCTCTAGCAGAGGTCAGCTCCAGGCTGCCCCTGACTGTGACCCCAGCCCCAGGAGCAGGTTTGGGGCTCGTGCTGCACCCGAGCGGAGCATCGCACTGGGATCCAGGCCAGAGGCAGCCAGGGGTGAAGTCCAGAGAAACTTGGACTCCTTCCCCAAATCTGTCCTTAAAGGATGAGGGGAAAAAAAAGTCCTTTAGGAATTGAGGTTTATTCCCCCACTCTGTGGCCAGTCGATGTGTCACTGCACATTGGAAGAGCCTCGCAGGGGTATTTGCTTGGGAGATTTCTGTTTGGGAATCTCACTAGAGGTGCTTTTTTTTCTTTTATTTTGTTTAATTTTCTGCTCAGTTATAGACTGAAGACTGGAGTCAGCAACCAGGCCCAAGCCTCTCGAGTGTCTCGTTGCTCTTTGGAAAACAGTGGGGTTCGGAGCTGAGGGTGTTGAAGGGTCTGAATTGACCAACTGAAGTGCAGTTTGTCAGGTCTTTCCTCCTGCAGAACTAAACTGGTAACTGTCAGTTCTCCATCCACTGCATTGCACTGGAAACCTTGATTTACAAATTCTGCTCAAGAACTGTGTGAAAAGTTTCTCATTTAAGGAAGTCTCCTGAAATTTCTATGGAAATTGCAACTTGCATTAATTTATTTTTTCACATGTGTGGCAAATGCAGCTGTTTCCATGCAGCTCTTAAGGGGACTCAGGCCCATCTCAGCATAGTCTGTACCTTTTTTCCTCATTGCAGGAGGTTTGCCTGGAGCCATGGACTGTGGATCCCCTCAGTCGGGGATGGAGCTGTCTCCTGCTCCCTCTCCTGGGTCCTTCAGGCGTTTTCCCCGTGGTGCTGCTGTTGCAAACAATCTGTTTTCAAACTTTTTGGAAGCATCTGCTCTTGTGGGAGTGGTGGGAGCATAGCTCCACGCATAGGGTTGGGAAACATGGTGATTTAAAAAATAAACCCAAGGCAAGACAAAAACAGCCAACAAAATGCAGAGTCCAGGGAAGCTGAGCTCCCAGTCTGCTCTCTGGGAGGGAGGTGGTGACGGCATTCCTGCAGCTTCCCTGCTGCACAGGGGCTGCATGCTCAGATGGTGTGAGCTGAGGAGTCTGGGGCTCCTTCCTCACCCCTAGTGCTCTGCTCCAGAGGGATGGTTTTGTTGGAGCTGCTTATTTCCAGGCTCTGGCAAGTTGTGGAAGGGAAGGCTCTACAGAGCACCAACTTCTGAAAATCCCTCTGAGCCATCCATCCTGATGAGGACTTTCCCAGGCAAAGTGTCCAGGGTACCTCTTCTGGTTCAGAGGTATCTTAACATCCTTCCCTGAATTTCTTTGGCTGTCATGTGGCAGTGAAATCCCAGGCTGCCTTTACCTTTTTCTGATTTATGAGTAATGCAGCATGTGCTTTTTTTATTTCCAGATTGAGAAGATCATGAGTTCCATTGGTGAAGGCATTGACTTTTCCCAGGAGCAGCAGAGGATCTCAGGTGTGTACTCAGCGTGTGTCCACCTGTCCTGGCAGTGCTCTGCACACAAACAAAGTGCTGATCTCTTTAATCTGCTTTGACTCTGGGAGGGAGAGGAAGGCTCTGGCACAGGAGGAGCAGACCTGGGCTTCCCATGTGATGCTCAGTGCTGCTGCCGGGAATTTTAATTCAATGCTCTCCAGGAAGATTCATTTAATTTTACAGAATGCAGCTGCAGGATTGTCCTCCTGGCTCCTTCTGTGAGGGCAGTAGCTGTGCTGAGCAGGGCTGGGTCATGCTAGTGGCAGGTCATTGCAGGTCCCACGGAGTCCGTGCCCTTCAGATGTGGTTAATCTGCCAAGTGCCTCAGTGAGGGTTATCCTGGGCATTCCTAAAGGCCCCTGTAGGTATCAATACTCACTGAATGAGGCTCTTGGAGGACACGTGCTTCCCTCTGTACTTAAAGCGTGAATTCCTTTCTCTGCCTTTAAATCCTGAGCAAACGCAGAACTTGAGCTTGCTGGAGAGCTGCCACCACAAGGGATTCTGTCCTTTTAAATCCTTCACCTCCAGACTGCTGCCGCAGAACGGCTCCGGGTGGGCAGCAGCTCCTCCTGATGAGATGCTAATGCGGATCCGCACAGGCGGCTCACACGGGCTGCGACAGAGCTCACCTCGCATCCATTTGTCACTCAGGTTTTTGCTCAGGTGAAGAGGAAGGCACTGTGTGTTCCCAGTGCAATAACCTTGTTCGGGCTCCGTATTCCGGGGTCAGGTGGCTTTGCAGAGGAGTCGAAGTGCTGTGTGTGTTTGGGCTCAGGCTGTGGTCCAGGCTTGATGGATCAATAGTGCCAGGGAAGGGACTGACATGGAGGGGAGAGGAGGAGCCAGTGCTCCCACAGATCTGCTCTCAGTGATATGGACAGCCTGGAGCTGCTGTGTCCTGGAGCTGGGGGTGTTCCCACAGGCTGTGCCCTGCCACGCTCAGTTTGGGATCCCTTGTGTGCAGATTGCCTGCTGGGCACACTCCTGTTTGTCCCTCCTTCCCTGGAGCGGGCAGAGCTCTGCCAGCCCTTGCTGTGGGGCTGACGGGACCCAGGGAGCTCCCAGGGGCTCGTGGGGTCGTAACAATTTGGGTCATGGCAAATGTGCAGGGAGCTGCAGGGAACTTCCCAAATGCTCTCATCCTCAAAAATGGGTGAGATTTGAGGATATTTGGGCTCCTGACTACTTTGGGGTCTGGAAGGGTGAAATGCCTTGCTGGCAGTTACTGTGGGGATAAGTGTGTTTGGAGCCTGTTTGTACAAGCAGTTACTGCCTCATGTCTGAGGAAAGCAGTGGGTAAGGGCTGGCAAGGGCTTCTCAGAGCTTGGGCAATCAAGGAACACCATCGCTTTAGGGGTACCAGACTCCACCTGCCCTTTGCCTTAGAGGAGTTCTTGGCCTTGGAACAGACGTTTGTGTCTCTCTGCACCCAGTGTCCATGAGCAAATGGTGATGTTGGTCAGGATGGAGCTGAGAAATGGGAGTTTGTTTCAGTCACAAGTTGTGATCAGGCTCTTGACAAGGGGCACAGGGACTGGGATTCTTTTGTTCTTGTGTCATCCTCGTAACACATGAACAGCTGAACACCCAGTGTATTTGGGGCTTTTTTATTTTCAGCCTAGGATGTTTTGGGCATCTGTTATCCTCTTTTCCTTTTTAGAGGAAACCCCTCGATTCCCTCCCTCTAAATACCTCCCCCCATTCATTCTGTGATGACTTGAAGCAGTTTTATAAACAGAAAACCTGTACTTGTGTCACTGTAGGTTTCCCTCTTAAAAGCAGAAATACATTTTTGAGCACATGAAAGGCTGAACAGAGTAAATAATTTTTAAAATTAAATTCAGGAGCTGAGGGAAAGGAGCTGCTGTGGTTTCATTCCTCCTGCCAATACCCTGACTGCTCCCAGGAATGCTGTGGTAGGCACCAGGCAGTTCCTCACCTCTCTCTTGATAAATGAATTCTGAGCCAGCCACAAATCACTTGGAACTGTCAGAGCAGACCTGTGACATCATTTTTTGAAAACCCCAAGCCATGTCATCCATCATCCAGTAAATATTGAGGAGTCAGTGATTTCCACTGGAGAGTTAGGGAGCTGCTGCCTCCCTCCCGGCTGGCGCGGCGGGTGGGAGCGCTGGGAGGGGTGAGAGGATGAGGAGAAGGGAGGGACGGGCAGCGCGGGGCTCGCCGGCTCAGACAAAGCCGCCGCAACCGCTGGCGGAGCGCAGGGACCGGCGGAGGGGAGGATGGAGCCCGGGGGAGCCGGGAGCCCGGGGGACACAGTCCGGGTTTAGTTGGTGCCCCGGTGCACAGGCTGGGTCAGGGGAGGGGGGGCAGAAGCCTTTTGTGATCTCGGCACTGCTCGTACGCTGGCTGGAAGGACCGGCCGGCGCTGCCCAACAGCTCCCTGGGCAGAGCAGCAATCCCGTGGAGCAGACAGCAGGAATCACCCCAAGAATCTGCAGATGACACCGTGAGCTCTGTGTGTGCAGCCATTGCAGCAGAGCGGGGAGGGATGGCTGGAAGGTACCAAACCGCTTCAGCTGACCAGAAGGTTCAAAGGAAGCAAACTGGGGTCTCCTGATCATCCTTTTCTTTGCATCCACGGTGGAAACAGATGTGCCAGGGAGCCTGAAAATCTGCCTGTCTTGCATAGCAAATTCCCTGATGAAAAGGAGAGCTCTGAACTTTTTTTCTCATATTTAAGGTCTTGAGCTTTTCTAGAGGAGAGTAACAAGTCACTGGACTCATCCCAAGGGTGAAGGAAGGGAGAGCTCGTCCATACGGCTTCCGTAGGTGCTGGGAGGAATCTTCCTTTATCAGAGGCTGAGGGGAGGTGGCAGGGCATGGCTCGGACTTGAGCTGCTGCAGCAAGAGGAGAGAGTGTGCTTGCATTTGCTTGCTTTTGTTTTGATGTGGTTTGGAAGCAGGGAACTGAAATGCCTCCTCCTGCAGAGCTGCTCCTTGTCTGAGCAAGAGGCTCGATGCGGCGGCTGCGCGGGGCTGAAGAAAATGAAGGAAGGTCAAATCCAGGTGTGCACCCAACGCCTGGCAGGGCCGGCGGTGTCGGGTGAGAACGGTCCCGACTGCGCTGTCCTGCGGTGCAGCAGCAGGGCCGGGCTCCCCGGGGCAGCCAGTCCGGTCCGGGCAGTGTGCTGGAATGCCACCCCGCTGGGGCACTGGTAGAATGACAGTGCCAGGGCTCCCGGACTCGTGCTCGGGATCCTCATGACACGCTAACGGCGAGACAAAGCCCCTGCCATGGTTTGCCTCTCTCAGGACTGCTGGGAAGGAAGAGCACAAGCCCTTTCTCTCCGCTGCTGCAGTCTGTGCTTCCTTTGTCTTGCGTGTCTTCCCGCGGACAGCCTGAGCTCCTGCTGCTGTTCCGAGCGTCCGCCGTGTCTGTGCTGGCTCGGCTGCACGAAGCTGTTTTCTCTCAGGCTGCTCTGCGCTCCCTGCTGAGCAGGGGGTGCATCTGGAGGTGCACGGATGAGAGGACTGGAACAGCTCTGTGCGTTCAGAAGTGGCTCCGCTCCCTTCCCTCGCACCTGCAACTGCCTGGGAATGCCTCGGGTGGAAGTTCGCTGTTCTCCTCCCGCCCCCTTCTGCTGAGCCAAGGAGTGGATCCGCATTCCCGTGGGGTTGGGCTTCATGTGTTTGTCTGGCGAGGAACTCAGGAGCCCTGTCAGCAGTGCCTGTGATCTCAGCGCCCCAGCAGTGCTTCTGAACCTCTGCCCGGGCGAGGAGTTTCTTTTCTGAGTGTGAACTGCGGTACAGGTTGCACCCGGAGCCCACGGAGGCACTGGAAGCTTGTTGTCCATGGTCTGTGCACACAAGAGCAATTGTCTGCCAGCTGATTTGTTGTACTCTGAGCATAATTTTTTGAGTTTCTTTATGGTAATGACTATGATGTGGCAATGCCATCTGTCCTCCTCAGAGTGCCGCTGCTACCGCCTGAACGGTTTCTCCCTGTTCAAGCGGCTGCCGATTCCTCTCTCGTCAGGTTCGCGGATGCTGGAGCAGAGCGTCGGGGAGTGGCTGGAGTCCATCGGCCTGCAGCAGTACGAGAGCAAGCTGCTCCTGAACGGCTTCGATGATGTTCGCTTCCTGGTGAGTGCCCAGGAGGGACCCCGGGCTCCGAGGAGCGGGTTGGCCAAAGCTTCCCTCGTTACCGGCGCCCCGTGTCGGTGCCAAGCAGAGCCGGTTCTGCTGCCCGGCACAATGGTCGTGGGGGGTGTAAAAGGTTTGACAGAAGGAATAGATGAGGGTTGTGTTGGGTCTTCACATTTATTTCAGGTGTTACTGCTTTTTCACTGGAATTTTCATAGAAAGTTTTACTTAATCTGCCCCCTAAATATGTACTATTTGATTTGCTCCAGAAATGTGAACTGAAATTCACTGGTGTTTTGAAGGAGTCCCTGAACAGTCTGTGCCCTGGGCTGTGAAGGAGGCAGCAGACTTCTTGCTGGAACTGTACTTGCTCTTAGCATGCAGGCAGGATGTTAATGAACTGTACCTAATTACATTGACACTGTTGGCTCTGAAACCTAATGACGACACAGTAGTGCTCAGTGATGAGGGTTTCTAATAACCAGGGTCTATAAACTTGAAGCCGCATTGTGTAAAAATCTGAGAATTCGTGTGGAATGCTGAAGTGCAAAGATGGAAAATCTTGGTCCTGTAGGAGAGTTCTCCTTGCATGGCTTAAAGAAGTGCTTTAGATGTGGACTCTAAGTTTGGTAAATAACAAAAAATGGATGTAAACCTTTGGAAAAGTCGTTCTGGTTAATGTTGCATCCTGCCTTGGAACGGTGGGGATCCCTCTGGTACTGGGGATGGTGCGGAGAGGTGACACCAGGAGGATGTGAGGGGCTTTGGGAACACACAGTGGCCATCAGCGGTGGGGAGGGCAGGGGAGGCAGGTGGAGAGAGACAGGAAGCCAGGAAGGGGCATGGATGGAGTGCGAGGAAGCACACACCTGAGCAGTGTCTGTTGGGCTACTTCGGGGTAGGGTGTAAATAAGCTTTAAAAAATGACCCAACCAACAGGATAAATGTCGTGGGATCTATCCAGATGTATCTCCAGCAAGCAGCTGGTCCCTTCATCTGGCAGGGTCAGCGTTCCCCCCAGAGCTGTCGTTTGCTGTGGTTTTTCCCCCAGTGTCCCACCAGGCTGGTCCCAACCCCCAGTGCACTCCTGGCTTCACTGTGCTTTGTGTAGGACATTCAGCTCCATGCGAGGGTCCCTGGGTGTGCTGGGGCAGTCTGACATGACTTCTGGGGTGCTCTGGAGGTGGTTCAACAAATTTAAATGAAATAACCCTGTAGATCCTTTTGGGATGCCCTGCTGATGGATCTGTGACCATTATGGGGTTGGTGGCTGCTCTCACCCAGCAGTGGCAGATAAAATGCTGCTCCCCTGCCTGGCCGGGGTGATGGACCTCACTGAGCTCAGAACTTCACTAGCAAAGGTTCCTGTGTGGTGGTGTTGGGTACGTGATAGGATTAGCTTTTGTCATGGCTGGATGTTTTTCTTCCCTGTCCAGTGCTGAGTGGCTGCTCCCAGTGCAGCAATTGGCTACAGCTAGATTCAGGGAATGGGACACTCCTTGCTCATTCCTCTCAAAGGTAAAAGGTCAAATAATTTCACAAAGATTTCCTGCAAACCCCTGCTGATTTCCATTTTACCGCTTATCCCTTTTCCTAGGGAGTTGACTCCAGCACCCGTGCCAAGCCTGGCTTTAAATCCATTCATCCCAGCCCTGGGAACTCCAAGCTAATATGTCAGCCCAGTAGGAAAGTAAAATTATTCAGAATTTTTTCCTCTGTGATGTTCCTTGCCTTCAGTTTCTGGTGTTGGGGAAGTAAAACCGTCAGATACAGCACGAGTGAGGAACAAGTATTTAATTTGGTTCTACTGGTGATTTTGATGTTCTTGGATGAACTATTAAAATTGCAGTGACCACTGAAGCTGGGCAGACCAGGAGCACTGAGTGCCCGAGGCGCTGGACGCCTGTCAGGCTGCTCAGTCCTCTTCACACAACTATTTCTGTCTTACCTGCCCCTTCCAGTGGCTAACAAAGAATATTCCAAACTAAGTGGCATTGCTTTCCTGCAGTTAAACAGTTTCTATAAGAGGATTAGTCCCTCTTAGGGCCTCACTGTGTTCAATATTTCAAGGTCCAAAGAACGCCAGGTAATGGTTTGAAAATCGCCAGATGGGCTGTGAGGCTAATTACATTTTAGTAGCCAAAATTAGGAAGTTGGAGTCCTTTGATAGGGTAACAGTTGTTTTCTGTGCAGGATTTTGCTTTGCATTGCTCCCTGCTCGTAGAGCTGCAGGGTATTCCAGGCGCCAGGATGCTCCTTTTGCTCCAGGGTCCCCAGGTGCCATTTGGGGGCAAACAAGAAGCTTTGCAGGAGCAAAGTGTTTGATGTGCAGAGGTCGTGCAGCTGCAGAGCAGGGCAGTGTCCTGAAAGAGCCCTTTAATGTACCGAGGAAGATACTCAGCCTGTAGTAGATTACAACTCAGAAGAGGAGTAAGAGCAGACACGAGGAGTGTGTCCTGTCACCGCAGTGGGGACAGTGAGAGCCAGTGTGTGCTGGCACCAGGTGCTTGGTGCTGTTCTTCCCTAGAGAAAGAGGTGTTTAAAGTGCCCTGTCTGCCCCAGGAATGGGGCAGGGTTGCGAGAGACACAGACTGAGGGTGCTGGCCTTGCTGGTGCTGCTCAGTGCTCTGGTAGCCTGTACTTCAGCCGGTTCTGGTTTCAGGGATTCCTGAATCCCTGGGTGTTTTCAACTGGCTCCTGTGTTAATTTGCACCCTGTGTTACAAGAACCTTTACCACCAGGTAGGGAAATGATTCATGAACACACCGTGTGTAAAGGGAGTCTGAGAAGTGCTCTGTAAATATATTGGGCTTCTTAATTAGACATTAATGTAGGAAGGCGGAAACAGACATTGTTTCCAAGAATAACACTTCCGTTATTTTCAGAGCTCCAGGGATTGGGGATTAGGGGATTAGCTCTGGCCACACGCCAGCACTGTCGCTGGTGATGACTCTGGGCAGGCTGCACCTCGGGTGGACTGCGGGGAGGGAGTGAGGGTCCTGCTCCTCGGGGTCTGCTGTGCACCAACAGCTGAGGGGGGCTCTGGGTTCCTGCAGCTCCTACAGGTTTGCAGTGACTGGGAACCGTGAGCGTCTCCCAGGCTGGGCTGTGAAAGGGGAGGGTGCGGTGTGTTGGAGCCAGGGTGAGCTGGCAAGGTCCAGTGGAGGCCTCTCTGCTCCCGGGAATTCCAGCTCTGCATTTGGGACAAAGCTGATCTTGGTCTAGCGTTGGCTTCACTCAGGGGTGGGTATTACTTGCACAAGTCAGCAGGATTATTTAGACATTGATGTGACGTGATGCCTTCACCCACGTACGTGTTTCTGGAAGGGACCGAGGTCTACATGGATCTCAGATTGTGTAACCTTTCAGCTTGGTTGAGGGAAGAAAGGGATGATAAAAGATAAATTTAAGTAGCTTAGTTTTCCAAAAGACTTGAGTTCTCTTTCCACATCTGCACATTGGACCACATCTCTGTGTCTGCAGAAATTCTTCTACTCCCTTCAAGTTGCCTGCAGTAGCTTTGCTATGTTTATGGGCAAGGCAAAGAAGAGGCTTTCCCTATTATTCTGTTGCTCTCAAGCACAAACCCCACTGTCCAGGGCAGCAGCTTCTTGCCCTCTGGGTTGCTGAGTGACCTTCACAGGCAGCACCACTGCCACGGGGCAATCACACTGGGACACTCAGCTGCTGCTTTTCATATGGAGCTGGAATTGGGCAGCAGCCTGTACAGGCAGCTGGGATTAGGAGGAGCTCAAGTGGAGATGGCGCTTCCAAGTCTTCTATACTCTGCAGCCCGCTGGGATTCCTTCATTAGAGGGGAAGGTTTATTTGTGCGGTGGGTGAACACAACTGAGCCAAAGCTGCTGCCAGTGGCTGTGCTGTCCTTGACTTAGCAAAAATACAGCTCTGCAAGTAGGATAAAATCCTCAGCAGAGCTGCCTGCCAAATGTGAACAGCTCCAGTGAACCAGGAATATCCCACCACCACCGAGGAGGAACAGCGCCGCTGCCTTCCACGTGGAGGAATGTGGCCCCGGAGTGTGAGCCAAGTTCCAGGAGCCCCATTGCCTCATCCCTCACCAGAGGAGGGAAATGAAAGGTAATATCACAAAACTGCACCAGTGAGTGAGAAGTGTCATCCAGAAAAGTGCACAGTAAATGGACTTAATTGTCCTTGGCCGGTAATGAGCCAGGGAGCAGGAGAGCAGAAAAAATATCACAGGAATATGGACCAAGAGGGTTTCTGCTGCTCCTGGAGCTTGGCCCCGTTTTGTCAGCTGTGGTCAACAGTGCATCTGCTGCAGATGCTCCATGTGGGAATTCCATAGGAAATGAGCTTTGGGATGCCCAGTGCATTCCTGGTCCTTGCAAGCAAACAGGGAGTGGCCGGGGAAAGGCCAGGCTGGACTCTGCCCTTCATGAGAGGGAAGGGACGTGGCCACTGTAATGAGAAGGAATTGCAGTAATTGATGGTAGAATTTCCCCACAGAAATGGGGAGGGGAATGCCATTACCTGCTCCCTCACACAGTGTTTTGTGATCCCACAGATCCTATAAATGTGTCTGAGATGTTTGCAAAAGCTTTTCCCTTCCCTTGGGGCACGGGATAGTTGCTGCTGCCCCCGACAGTTTCCAGGCTGACATCTGAGAAGGGCAAGCCCCGTGTGCTCTGGCAGCTGTACCAGTGTTCTGGAGTTGAACTTTTTATTCAGTCCAAAGGTATTTTGATTCACAAATGGGCAGGTAAAAGAGAATATAAACCATTTTTTATGGCTTTTTTTTATTGTTCAAGCCTGGATTCCCATGGAGTGTGTGGAAAGCAGCTAATGCTGATTCAATGAGACAGCGTCAGAAAGGGAAATCTGTTCTCTGCATGTAGTGCCCTGGGCTCCTCTGGTGGGGGGGTTATTTATTTTTTTATAATTGGGGAGAAGTGGTGGAAAATGATGGTGTTGGAAGAAGGGCGTATTCGCAAATAATTTAAAGTACTGACATTAATTTG